TGGCTGCTGGCCAGTGAAGAAAGTGTTGCGGGGATGTACACGTAGCTGTTGAGTCGCGCAGACGCGTGGATTCAGTATTGAGGTTGGACACGTCAAAGGTGGTATCTTTTGTTGTTGATGTGTTGCTGTATTTCCAGCTTTCGCACACGAACTTGGCAGGGGGGACTCACAGGATTGCTTGTTCACCGATTCGGTGTATGAGTCGGCAGGAAGTTTGCGATGACGGCTGATGGCTCCGTGATCGCTGGTGCAGGGCACAATTCCTATTGGGTCAGCACAGACAGCGGAGCAACCTGGACAAGGCGATCTCCTATGGAGAAGCAGTATGAATCCCGGAGTGTTTTAGACAGATGCCTTTCTTCCCCGCAGAATCCCACGGCCGTCCCAAGGTGTTGGTTGTATACACGGTCAGATAGTCACAGTAGCATCGTAGAGGACAGAGCGACAGGGAAGGAAGGAGGGAGGAACGGACCATGTTCAACGACTCACCAACTCTTGAACCGGATGTTCAGAAAGTCACGGGTATCACATCACGTCCAAGGAAGGCATTGCCCTTTTCAGCTGATGGATCCAAACTTGTCGCCGGTGGAATTGAAGTGAACATGTGGAAGAGCGATGGCGGTCCAACCTTTCAAACGGGCTTGTCTGATGCACAATTCCCAAGCTCAACATCTCAGAAGCTTCGTGACCTGGCAATGTCTCCGGATGGCAACATCATTGTTACTTTCCCGAAATGGTATGTTCAATGTTCTGCTTGAGTAGCCTGCTTTCGTCTTTTTTGAAACAGTGCTTTTCGAAAGGCAATAGTCAAAGTCTCCTTTGCCAGCAGGGTACGTACCGAAATGCACTGGATCCACCATTGCTGCGGCACCTCGCCAAAAACCTTAAGCCGCAGCAAAAGCGCTAGATGTTAGTTGCCACCAGGTCTCAGCTGGTGACACCAGCGATGTGGACGCGCAGACCTGGACCCAGGGCAGCTTCCGAACCACCGATTTTGGTGCTAATTGGAACCAGATCTCGACGACCCCAATGACGGGTATCGCCATGTCGGCCGATGGCAATGTGATTGCAGCCGTGACCTCACAAAGCAACGCGGGAGTGCGTGTGAGCACTGACGGAGGCGGGGCTTTTCTCCGTTGAATAAGGGCTGGCTACCTGGTTGCTGAAGGTAAAGCAACAGTTCAGGGGTCCATCTTTACCGAAGAAAGCCCATGGGCTCCTTTTAACGACAATGCCCCAGGTGCCAACTGGGCAACCAACACGCCGAGCGAATCCACGAGCCTACATGCCATCGCCATGACGTCCGATGGCTCGATTATGGCAGCTGTGGGCCATGGCAACGGTGGCATTTGGATCAGCAATATAACACTGGCTCAACTTGGACGCAGGTTTCTGGCCGCTGAAAGCTTGTTCTACTACACTGACACTAATGTAGGAACATGATTAAGAAACCCTGGCCCTATAACCCCAATTTTTTTGGGGTTCATATTAAGAACCCTAATAAAGGCTCAGGGTTGCTTAATCAGGTTCCTACATTACTATACTACCTCCGTTTTTGCCCTGGCGCTCTCGGGATCTTTCGGGCATCGCCATGAGTCCGCAAGGGGTCATACGTCATAGGGAATCAGAGCAGGGGATTTCGGCATGCCCAAAACCCCGAAGACCATCCTGAAAGGTACTCGTCTTTCTTCCTTTCTAAGGTCGTGTCGGATTCTGGTGTTTGGGAAAGTGTGTCCATGTCCGCGGATGGCTCAGTGATGGGCGCAACCAAGATGTCTTCCAAGCTTTGGACCAGCTCCGATTTCGGCGTCACCTGGACCGAGGATGCAACAAGTCCGGATGCCTGGATGCATCTTTGAGCGTGATTTGGGAAGGGCCCGTGCAACTCCAAGAAGAAGCGCCTTTACTATACTGTAAAGGTCTTGAGACCAGCACATCCAAGGACAATGCCAAGTTTATTGCGATCTCATCCGATGGCACAAAGATGGTGATGGAGGGTGCTGCTAAGCTTCAGTACAAGGGTTTCCCCACCACCACCACGACGACGACCACGACGACCACGACTACAACCACCAGCACTACCACCAGCGGAGCTGGAAACGGAGGAACCGGCACCACACAAGGAAGCACCGTCGGTGATGCCACAACATCGGCCTCGCACCATGCGGCCTTCATCGGAGTGAGCTGCATGGCCAGTCTATCCATGTTGGCTTGAACGGTGTAGAGGCCAGCGGTGATTGACTCACGGTTGGGGCACAGAGTTCCGTTGGAAGCAAGTAGCCCGGGCTGGGATTGAAGATGTGTCGGGTTAAAACTTCTCTTCAGATCGTTGCCGTTGCCAGGTGCTCCTTTCAAGCTACTCATGAGGTAGCGAAGATGCACGACGCTTGTTCTGCTTCATGTCTGACGGTAGGGCCTTCAAAGCACACGTGCTCGAACACGACACACACACACAGGTTGACTACGTGATGCTGGCTGTCTTTGCTATAGACTTGGGAAATGTTGCCACGAGCACGTTTGTTTAGCAATTAGACTGTACAGTTGACCTTGCAATTTGACGTGGTCATGCTTGGCCCTTGGACCTAATTTCTTGGGCCCAATAGTTTGAGTGCAGGCGGCACTTTCAAAGATAGACCTGGCAATGGGCAACTGCTAGGGCTTGCTAGGGAAAAGCCTTCTGTGGGTAACTGGTCAGAGAGGGTGTAGCTGCTCCTGTTGTTGTGCAGTTACTCCGCATGCCAGTGTCCATTTTTGAAAAAGTTCGGCCGAATTCTTTGCTGGCGCTCAACAGAACCCCGGCCCCTGACGCAAATTGCGCAACAGTGTTTTCAGAGCAGAGACGGCCAAGTGAACTCAACTTCGGCCCAACTCTGGTGCTGGCAGCTCGGGTTTCGAAGATGGACCTGGCAATGGGAACTGCTTTGCAACAGCCTTGTGCAGATATCTACTCTGCGAGTGTGTTTATTGCTCAGTTATGTTAACCCTCAGCCTCCGCATGCCGGCGTCCCTTTTTGAACAAAATCGGCTGGCTAAATTCCGGGCCAATACGCCTCACACAAGGCTCAAGCAATCTGACGAAAAGTCGCCTTTGATTCTCTCCGCAAGGCTAAGAGCGTGCTCCATGGGCATGAAGACTGCGTAGATGAACCAAGAAGAAGAAGGTTGGTTGGCGAGCTGCACCACCGCTAATACCGCTACCACCACCACTACTACCACTCTACCACTACCACCACTACTACCAACCCCACCACTACTAGTACCACTACCACCACTACTACCTCATTATGACTACTATTACTACTACTACTACTACTACTACTACTACTACTACTACTGCTACTACTGCTGCTGCTGCTGCTGATGCTACTGCTACTGCTATTGCCAGACGTAGCAGTAGTACAGCGAAAGCAGTAACATCTGAAGGTGGCAGCTGGGACAAAATTGTCAAATTGTGAGCCTGTTGAAGTCTTAATGATTGTCACGACCAGTTACAGCAAGCAGACATTAGACCTGCACAAACTTGGAGTCTGGAAGCATAAACTCCAAACATGCTTATATAACCTCGCTTGAATCCAGCCGTCGACACTTCAGTCGCGAGCAGCAGATGTAGATGAAACCGGAAACCCCATATCACCTACTTGTGGCCCCGTACACCCAAAAGCTAGCGGAGCTGGGAAGGCGAAAGCAACCCCGAAATCCTAAGCCTCAGCGTCGCTCAGAGGTCCCCAGAGTGAGCAGCCTGGGCGCGCTTCGGCCACGCGTATCTCAGGGTTTAGGGTTTAGGCCCTGTTTGAAGTTAGGGAATCTTTAAAGCGATTGGGGTCTTGGTGCCGAGGTTCGGGCAGTTATAGCAGAAGATTTTCCGGGCTGGAGATACATGAGTTTTGTAACTTACGAAGCTGCCAGCCTCAAAGTCTCAAAGCGGCGGCACGAAGCTTTTGGTCCTTCCATCCTCTGGACGAACAAGCTTAGTGAGAAGCGCAAGACTGCGAAGAGTCGTACCAAGGACATTTAGGCACTTGAGTCTCGGGATGTTGGATTTAAGGTTCTAGATTTCGGCTTTCCGGTCTCACCTGCAGTATACTGAAGATTCCTTCGCGCATCGGACTTGGGATCAGAAAGACTTCAGCGGTGCCGTCGGGGAACCAAACCGACCGCTGGCATGGTGGGTTCTGTTACGCTATCAGCATGTGCGCGGTTCTTGTGCTGCTAGGTGCCTTGGGTCAGTCTGTTGATGCAAGTCAGAGTCATCCTGACTGTCTTAGCTTCAGTCTAGTTGCGGCGGAGAGACTTCCACATGCAGCTCACCCGTTTGTTCAATGGCCTCATCGTTTTGCAAGCAGGTGACGAAAGAGACCATTACGGCATAGAGTCGAGCATCGTACTAGAGCTCGCTTGGGACGTCTGGTGAGTTCTTTTCTTGGATTCCTTCTTTTCTCATGTGGTCGTCATGGCATGGGCCCTTGGACCACCTATCCCTCCAGGTGAACAAGTCCCGGCTTCGGCAGGCTCTTTTCATACCAAAGGCACATGCCGACTCTATGTTCAGAACTCGTCCCTGCATCCAACACTGGCTTCCTCCGCATCCTTCAAGGCTTAAACAACTGCCGAACGGTGTACACTGCAGGGTCATGGTTAATTGGAGTTTTCTCTTGCAAGTGCCCCTTTCTTTGCAAGCTTTCGCACATCACGGAGGACCGCGCTTGTGTCTCAAGCTGGGTTGTGCACGTGTGTTTTCTTTACCACCGTCATCGGTTTCAGGGAGTTGCAACACAGGGCTAATGTCAGTGCGAGGTCGAGATCTGTGCAGAAGCCTATCTAGAACACCCGGCGTAGTCTCGTAGTCTTGGAGCTGCGGCAGGTGGAAGCAACTCAGGGCAGGGGTGCCATGGATTTCGGGGGTGTCGAGTGAGGCAGTATGACATCAGGCAGCGCTATGCCCATCAAAGTTGATGTGCATCTGATGAGTGGGAAGTCGGTATCTTTGCTAACGGAAGCAGACGGAACTGTTCATGATTTGATCAAGAGTGCCCGAGGCGCACTGGGAGTTGGGACGGGCAGGCTGTTGACCTCATCAGGGGAGATGCTGGACGGTTCAGCAACTGTGACACAGGTACACTTGCAGGACGGCGATGAGCTCACCTTGCATGTAGGACATGTTGCTGTCGCAACTCACCTTTCGTCCGAAACTTGCGCTGCACTCCTCGGTGATGGTTCCGTGGCAACTTGGGGCAGTGCTTCCTCTGCTTGCGACATGAAGTCACTGCAGGCTCGGCTGCAGGCCGTGCACCATATCCAAGCTTCTCAGCATGCTTTTGCTGCGATTCGAGCTGATGGCTCTGTGGTGACTTGGGGCGATGCTGAGTCTGGTGGCGACAGCAGTGCTGTGCAGGATTCTCTGCACGATGTGCAGCAGGTCCAAGCTTCTGGCTCAGCTTTTGCTGCGATAAGGGCTGATGGTTCCGTGGTGACCTGGGGCCAGGCTGACTTTGGCGGCGACAGCAGCGCTGTGCAGGATCGGCTGCAGAATGTGCAGCAGATTCAATCTTCCGAGTTTGCTTTTGCTGCGATCCGAGCTGATGGTTCAGTAGTGACTTGGGGCCATGGCTCATTTGGGGGCGACTGCAGTTTAGCCCAAGCTCAGCTGCAGAACGTGAAGCATGTCCAAGCGTCTCAAACTGCTTTTGCCGCAATCCTGGCTGATGATTCTGTGGTGGCCTGGGGCGATGTGGACGAGGGCGGCGACAGCAGTGCGGTGCAAGATCTCCTGCAGAATGTGCAGCATATCCAAGCTTCGTTAAGAGCTTTCGCTGCCATCCGGGCTGGTGGATCGGTGGTGACATGGGGACATCCTACATGTGGCGGCGACAGCAGTGCCGTGCAGGATCGGCTACAGAACATAGAGCAAATACAGGCTTCTGAGTTTGCTTTTGCGGCGATAAGGGCTGATGGTTCTGTGGTGGCCTGGGGCCACGCTGACTTTGGCGGCGACAGCAGCGCTGTGCAGGATCGATTGCACAAGGTACAGCGCATCCAAGCTTCTCGCCGAGCTTTTGCTGCGATCCGAGCAGATGGATCTGTGGTGTGTTGGGGCGATGCTCGCTACGGTGGCAATGGCAGTTCCGTGCAGGATCGGTTGTACGACATTAAGCATGTGCAGGCCTCTTCGTTTGCTTTTGCTGCGATTCGATCTGATGGTTCTGTGGTGACCTGGGGCGACGCACGATCTGTTGGCAACAGCAATACTGTACAAGATCGGTTGCAGCAGGTGCAACAAATTCAAGCTTCCCAGTATGCATTTGCTGCGATTAGGGCTGACGGCTCTGTTGTGACATGGGGCTGGGGCCGTGCTAGCGACAGCAGTCCTGTGCAAGAGCAACTGTTGACAGTGCTTCCGTAACCTTTCCACCGTCCCGCAACGTTGCGCGACCCAAATTCCAGCTCTCCGTTCCAGGCTGCAGATGTCGGATGAGTCGGATCACCAGAGCAAGTTCAGAAACAACGACTACATTCAGGAAGATTCCCAGAAAGTTGAGTGCATCGCCCGTCCGCCGGCGTATCGAGGTCGTCTGCAGATCCTAGAGATTGACTGTTCCTAAACGATCTCGTAAACAGGGATTCTTGCTTCCTTGCTGATGCACACATACTGTATGAGGCCTGGCCGGGTAGGTGTAGGATCTTGGGCTGCGTGCTGGTCGAAACGATTATGTCTATGCAGCCGTTTCCGGCTCGGAGGGGTCAGCTGCTTGGACAGACCAAGAGATGCCAACAATAGTATAAGAGCATCCTACGACAAGGAGGGGCGGAGATATCAGGAAGGATGTGACATGGACACTGATCAAGGCATAGGCTGGTCGTCGACAGGCAGCAACATCTCGTCTGCAGGGGGGCCTGCAGTCTGGGGGTTCCTGTGCAGCCCTGAGCTCCTACAATGCCAAAACATAGGTTTAGGGTTTAGGGTTTAGGGACTCGAGGCAGTTCTGACTGTTGAAGAGTCCGTGCGGCAACTCACACTTAGGGCTGCTAGACTCGTAGATGCCCTTTTCTGTCTTCTTTCTAGTCACAGCTGCATAGCTGAGAGAGGGTCTTGTACATTGCTTCAATAGCAAATGTATAAGTTAAGTAAATGTGTAATTTTCTCATTGAACAAACAAACACACATACATACATATTATATATATACATACATGCATGCATTTGTATATGTATGCATGTAGATATACATATGTATATATATATATATATTTATATGTATACATATATATATATATATATATGTATACATATATATATATATATCTACACGTGTATATCTATAATATATATATATATGTCTACATATATATATATATATACATGTATATATATATATATACATATATGAATACACAGTACGTGTATATACAGATGTATAAACACATCTGTGCAATCCCTCTCTCTCTCTCTCTTTCTGTGTGTGCGTGCCGTGCTTATCCAGTACATACTAGGTATTCTATAACCCAATAATCACAGTCTTTTCCAAAATATACTCCAAGAGCCTACTCTAATTATTAAGGCCCCTATAATATCTCTGAAAGATCCAGGCAAGGATGGAGCGGCGGCCTCGCTCTCGCAGCCTTCGAGGCCGGAGTTTCCCCTCCCCCCCCACAGGAGCTCTGCCATACACTTTTAGGTTTCGTATTACATGCACTAAATATTTGTTAGGGCCAGTGGAGCTTCAAGGAAGCAAAGGGCCAGGGCCCAGGCGGGCCCGTGCTGCCACCAGCTGAAATTGCACCTGCAGAGGAACCGTACATCTTGTGCTTCTTGGGAGTGGCATCTGGTCTTCAGCACGAGCCCCTTTGCACCCTGCACTCTACTACCAAGCCCTAAAGCCTTGAAGTCGATTTTTGGACCTGAGCAGTTTCATCTACTGGTTTCATGTTGGCCAGGCCCCTCGCTTGCAGCTGCCTTCGAGGTGGGTGATGCGACCGACCCTTGCGCGTGAAGTGGCCTTCAGAGACCCAAGCCCGAAATCGGAAGTCTGCAGGCCACAAAGGCCCGCAGCTACTCTGCACTCGGAGGCAGCTCGTGTCAAAGTCGAATCGGAGACAGAAAGTGGGGAGTGTACCAGCTCGCGGCTCAGCAGATTCGCAAGAAGAGGCCAGCAGCAGTGACATCCCAGGTCTTTGGCTTGCTTCTAGTCAAAGAGTGGCAAATCAATGGCCAGAATCTGGCAATCTGGGTTATTAGACTCTAACAACAACAATAATAATAATAGTAATAATCATAATAACAACAACAATGATAATACTTAATAATTGTTCGATTGATACTGTGTTCGACACCTCGAAGTTGGGGCCGGTGCAGCTGTTGAAGGCATTGTTCGCGGAGTCACGCATGGCCCTGCCAAGATTCCCTGAAACTACCCCGAAACCTCTCCTCAGAAACCCACTGCGATGAGTCGCAAACCCATCCCGCGACTTACCCGAAAGGCGCCAAGGTCTGCTAAAGAGTCTGTTAGATATATATAATATAATACAATATATATATATATATATATAGATAATATATAATATAATATATATATATATATATCAACAGAGTTCGAAGGCCGCTGCATGCCAAGGCCCGAGCCCCTGCAGTGATCGGCGCCCGCGGGCCGGGCGGCTGCCGCCGGGGCCCCTGAAATGCTAGAATGATGGTGTAAAATAGTGGCCTAACTAATTACCTATACTATCTTGGGTTTTCCTTCTTATAAGTATAGTATAATACATCAGAAAGCCCGTCCCAAGAGTCATCGGGTTTGGGGGCCTTGGAGGTTGAGGCTTGCGGGCTGTCGGGCCTTGGTGGGGTTGTAGGCCCTGGTAGGTGGAACTGGAGAGCGTGGGGGGGGAACCTGGATTCTGGATAGAGGTGCAAATGCCTTCAGGTCAGGGTTCCTCCTGTCTTCTCGGCTCGATTTGGGAAGCCATGGCGGACATAGTATGGAGGCGGTGCATCGTGACAAAGAGCCGACTTGAAATGAAAGGACGGTTCAGAAGTTCTGTGCCGCTAGGCCTTCAAGACGCCAGCGCTTACATACAGTGCCGCGAATCCGCTTGATGCCTGAAGCTTCTGTATTATGGTTGCTTATGTCTCCATGAGTTGCTAGAAGCATCCAGGCTAAGCTGAGCTTGTAGACTATGCATGCAAGGCTTCGCAGCATCGTTCCCAATCCGGGCCTGACTTCTATCAAGATGGAGGCTCTGTGCTCTTGCTGGCATTCATGAACCCCCCAACGGCAGTACAGGCATGTCTCGCTGCATGGACCATCTGCCGTTGCAGCAAGCTTCATCAGCAGAAGTCCAAGCACGTGGCTGAGCTGAGGTCGAGGATGCGCAGAATGAGTCGGCGGTCAGCGTCTTTGGCCGACTTTGCACAATATGTACCTTCAACCATAATGTGGTTAGGCTTGGACTTCACATACCAAAACTTGAGACGTGGCGCGCGAGGTGATGTGCAGCAAGGTGGTTCCTTCCGATGCCACCTGTGCGAAGTTCTTCACGTTGTGATGCAACAGCATGGCCCAGGTGCTTTTAGGTGATGAAAGCAGCGGCGAGTGTTCTCCAGAGCTGCAGCCTCATCAGTGCACGTATGCGGCTATGCAGTCATGACAAGCGACAAGTCTGCCAGAATGGCAAAACCCTGCATCGTTCCCCTCCCGAGATAAACCGCTCCACGGGTCAGAGTGCCCAAGCCCTTTTGTGGAGTCGCTGTGGTTGGCTCCAGGCCCGACCACAGGAAGCTCGAGTTTGCGGAGCCTGAGCTGGCTGCTCAGGGAAGGGACCAATCACCGGTCCTGCCTTCAGGGCCGTGTGAGCTAGCGGTTTCTTGGAGTTTGTCCTACTCCGCCCGAAACGGACGTGCATGCAGCTCTGGGTCATGCGAGCAGCCGGGCAATGGATTCTGCCAGTTCTCACGGAGCACTGCTCCCAAATTCCCAGCGCTCTCTTGCAGAGGCTCCAGGACATCCTCCCAGACCCGGGCCTGCTTCATATCAAGATGGAGGCTGGGGTCCCAGGGGTATGCAGAAGCAAAGCGTGTTGTTGTGAAAGCTCCGGGCAGCCGTTCAGCATCGCTTGCTGCAGAAAGATCCACCTGCCAACATTGAAGTTCGTCGTCGATTGCCAGTTGAGTTGACCTTGAAAGGCCGAGGATGCGAAGTCAGAACCAGAGGTCTGCGACTTTGTTTGACTGTGCACAAGATGGATCTGCACGGCTAGACATCCACCGCCCAAAGACGATGGGAACTGGCCTGCACCGACTCGTTTCATGATGGCGATGCTCTCGTTGAAGATACACACTGTGTGTTGCAGTGTGACCAAGGCCACTCCGAGTGAGGAAAGTAGTCGTGAATGTTCTCCAGAGCTGCAGCCTCAGACAGCACTGCAGCTGGCCACGATGAGTGCTGGATCGCGTAGTGTAGCACTCATTTAGCCATAAGGCCAGCCAGGCCACTTTGAACAGTGTTTTTCCTGCCACCGACACTGCTCGCTCAACTCGCAAGCACAGTTTCCGTTGCATTGGTTGTGTCAGATGTGTTCTTTCGAGTCGCTGTTTTGCAATGCTTCCTGGTATATAAGAGTCCAGTAGCCAACGCAACCCTTCAAATTCCTATTGCCATTACACAAAATCCGACCGCAAGAGTCATCGAGTCAAAGCAGCATGCCCATCGTAGCTAAGATTCGTCGTCACGGCACCTCTCCCAATCCTAAGTTTACAGCCCGCCCAAAATCGCTTAAGCAGAAGGAGCATTCCCTAAGTCCTTCCGTATCTTCTACGCGGGGCGTTTTTTTATATTCCGGAATGTACGGGCTTTGTGCCAACCAACCTTCCCGAGCCACAGGCCAGGACCAGCGAAGCTCGAACTGGCTGAGCCGAGGGTCTCAAAGAAGCGTTGGGGGTCGCTTTGGTGTTCATTTTTTTTTTGGGCTGGAGATTGCAAGGTAGGTTTGAAGGGCTTAGGGCTTTGGTTTAAGTGGGGACTTGGTTCAGGGCTTTGAAGTCGGGTTTCAAGAGTCTTGTTGTGGGGATTAGGCGGTTAGGAATAAGGTTTGTGGCATCCACGTTGCCGGAACTGGGGACTTGTGCACGAAACCGGTGCTTGGGTTCAAGAGGTTGAGGGCTGTAAGCCTAAGCCAAAGCCATGAAAAGTCACGATCTCAAGTGCAAGTTCTGAGCTATTAGTGGAACACTAGCAAAACTCTAAACTCTAAACCATCCCAACCAGGTGGTACCTCCGGAGTTTTGATCTTCCGTTCGATATGCCCAACGCAAGCTGTACTCGCGAACAGAAGCTGTATGTACATGTAAAGATTAAGTAACAAGTCGATAGATTGCGTACATATATATATATATATGTATATATAAATACATATGTATATATATATATATATGGTAACCCCCCCCAAGGACCAACATCGGCCCTGTCATCACTCATGTCTGTCTTGACATCGTTCTAAATTAGCGCCCAAACCACTGTAAATACCTATAGATTTTCTGTTCACGTACACTATTTGCACTCTCAACGCCTCTTGACAGAGTGGTAAAAACAGGGTTCAGTTTTAACTAGTGAAATCTAGAAAAGCAAAATTTACACTAAAATTAAGATTAATTTAGAAGATTATGTTAATTTGTTTACACTATTTATTCTACCGAGAGAACTGATAGAAATTTATTGCCTTTGAGCTAGGAGTAGAAATTGAATTAGGATTCACATAGAATTAGAGATACCTTTAGAATTAGAACTATGCCTGTTATTGTAGTAAGATAGTATTCATAGTATCAATAGTATTAATAGTAGTAGAAGTAGTAGTAGTAGTAGTAGTAGTAGTAGTAGTAGTAATAGTAGTATTAATAGTAGTAGTATGAGCGATATAGAGTAAGCAGGAGGAGGGAGAGGTTGTATAAAGTAGATATTTAGAGTAAATCAATGAAATATTAATGAAATAAAAAGTGTAAGTGTAGATCGAATGGTTACTCTTGGGTGGAGTTGATGTGTTAGTGATGATGGTATTTGTACTGTTATTGACTATAGACAATTGAGGGTTGTTGGTACTTGGAGTGGAGATATCAATGCTAATAATAATACTAATACGATCACTAACACTAACACTAATACTAATACTAACACTAATACTAATACTCATAGTAGTACTAATAATAGTACTAATAGTAATTATGTTAATATTAATAGTAGCAGTAACAGTAACAGTAACAGTAACAGCAAAAGTACCACATTTAGTAATCATAGTAGTAATAGTAATACTAGTAAAGGTAATAACAATGATATATGTAATAGTATAAATAGTGATAATAATATTGCCTCAAGTATTAATAGTATAAGCAGTATTAATGGTAGTAGTATGAACATAAATATACATATAAATATAAAGCCATCTCTAACGTGTGTGTAGTGGCTAGAATGATGATAAGGATGTTATAGCTATTGTGTGATAATTCCTTTATCAGTAATTGGAGATGATTGAGGATATGTAAGAGTTGTTAGATGTGAAGGTGAGGGTGTTTTTAGCGCTATTTGATGGTTTAAGAATATAGTTTAGGGTTATGTAAGTAATATAGGACATCATTTAATACTTATACTACTACTAATAGTAATAATAGTAATAGGTAATAGTAATAGTAATAGTAATA